ATTAATGCTAGCGAAGAATTTTTACATGGAAATTGTAGATCTCGTCGTCCTCTACAAGAAAGGTTCTATGCAATTTTCTCGTAGGACCAGCAGTTTAGGAGTTATTGAGGAAAAACGACATTTTTTTCCAAAAGTTAGCCGTTTCGGCGGTGGAATGGTCGGATTTTGTCAACATCAATAAAATGCCAAATAATCATATGTAACTCGTTAAATACTCGAGTTAGAAGAAAAATTCATGGAAATTTTCTTTGTAGAGGATGTGAGTGCCTACAACTTCTGTATAAAAAGCTTTTCGCCAACGTCAATAATTAATTGGATATTTCCTTCTATACTTTTTAGCACGTATGTATTTATTATTAGCATTGTTCTTCCGACGTTTGATTTCTTTTTAATTATAGGAAATGCGTTTTTCTAAGGTACATAAACTTTTGGGATTGACTGTATAGCCAATACATCCTTAACGTTACGCTTAAATCCTGCCATTCTTTTGATTCTGGAAATAACACGTTTTTAAAAGTATGTCTAATCGCGGTCCAATTTCTGTATGCAATATCCATCCAATGCAGATTCGCAGAGGATCGGTGAGTGAACCGTGTAGGAATGGAAAACGGAACCTCGAATCATCCACGTAGAATCGTCTGGTACCCCGCGAATATCCCTCCTTCGAACGCGTTAATCCCTTCCCGTTCGCCAGGCTCGTTACCGCTGCCGTTCGGCGTTGTATCCGCTCGGATTGAGCGAAGCGGAGGAGCGACTACTCGGTTATCACCGCGACCACCGGACCACTCGGTGAGCGAACGTTCCACGGTGGAAACCAGCTCGCGCTATTCCTTGGTGCTACGCAGGACATTCGGATAACCGACGTTCCCCGCCGATTCCGCAAGCGGCCAGGCCGAGGCGGCTCGCACCCCTCGCGGAGGGGTGAACGTTTGACCAGGGACGGTGGTGAAATATTTTGCAACGGTTCCAAGCGAGGGACAGACAAATAGGGTGGAGGATGTGCTAACGCAGGTCGGGCCAGAGGGGTTCGATCGCGTGAGTGCCGGATTTTAGTTGATCGCAGGTGAATGTTTGATGAGTGCCGGTGACGACAGATGTGTTTGGCTCCCGTGTCACGTTCACCGTCGTCGGTCGCGAGGCGTGAGCTGCTTCTGACAGCCGCGAGATCGGTGATAGAGTAACAGTCGTTGGACAACGCAACGAGAAAAGATGATCGGACCGGTCAAGACCTGTCAGCTCCTGTTCGTCTTCCTCTGCTATCAAGGTGAGCCACGTTTTACGGTTGATATTGAACTTACCGTTCTTTGACGACTCGCTTGACGGCCACGCGTAATTCAGCGGAAAATTAACCAATTTGCTAAAATTGCGTCGGACATATATTGCTACTTATCACGCGATGTACGACGACGGCACCGATTGTTCCCTCGTTTGCCGATACGGTTTCCCACTGGGGTGGCTCGGTATTACCTGATGTGAACGTTTTTACGTCGGCTTTCCAGCGTTCAGCCACAGCTTGATGCCGGATGAAGAGAAGGAGCCGACTTATCTGAACGCTGGGGTCGGAGAGTACGAGGTGTTCAACTGCGATCTGGATTTCCCGCACGAGATTCCCATCCCGTATATGCTCCAATGGAACCGTGACGTAAGTGACAAAAATTATGTTTATGCTAAAAGGAAAATGGGAGGTCACCTTTTATTATTAAATTTTACACGTCTTTCATGAGATCTTAAGGTTGTGTGGGCCTTTAAATAAAATGCACTCAAAATTTAATTGGTCACTAGGTATTATTACATTAATAAAACATTACGAACAATTTTAGAAATTTCACGAAGCTATGAAGAAAGTTATTACATCCTAACTGGCAAAATTGTAGAAAAAATACAGATGAAAAAATGAGAGAATTTTCTAACTTTATATAATTGTTAATATCTATTTTAAGAATATTTTGAATTATTAATATCGACGATATTATTTAAAGATAGGTAATAAAAAGTAAGGAAAGGTAA